TCAGTCAAAAAGCAGAAGAAATAAAGATAAATATCTTTCTATTGAAAAGCGTACTAACTATAACCCGTAAGTTATATTAATGTTTATTTTTTGATTCATTTATATAGTATACTAAATGATTATCTACAAGATGGTATTGGCATAGGCTTTCATCGCCTGACTCCTCAGAATCAGATAGGAAATATAAAAAATTACCTAAAACTACTGATCTAAGAAAAAACAATAAAGAGAAAGCAGCAGAAAAAGGTATAATTTAATTGACATGCATATTTATATGAATCGATGTGTCACAATCGGGATATGCAGATTTGTTTACAACCTTTTCAGATCCAGTCAATTTACCTTTACGAGATGTTGAAATTCTTGATATGTTCAAAGAGTTCGTATAAAAGAACCAGAATTAGAAGATATTCCTCTTCTACGCTTACCTGAAATAACTCAGGAGAATAATGATTTATCAGATATAAATAGTGACCATGATAGTATACAAAGCCATTATTCACAGTCGGCTTTCAGAGAAAGAACTAGTTCTTCACAGCTAGTTTCTAAGAAAATAAATGAAAGATCTAAAAGCTCTAGTTCTTTAAGATCTGATTCAAGATGTTCTAGTCCTAATCAGGATGAAGATATTAGAATGCCCTGGTATCTAAAATCGACAGACCTACCTGATGATCTCTGGGAAGCCTTGAGGATAAGTGAATTTTCATTACTTTCACTTTATTTATATACGTACTAATGCACTAATGGTATAACTTTTATATTTAGCATCAAGTTTTTTGGATAATTGAAAGGTTATCTTCCGAAAGTCAATTGAAATTAGATAAAACGTTCGATAATTAACATTGTCTCGTAAAAGATACAATAGTTCTGGCTGTTATGAAAGCTTTGAATTCAGATACGTTTCCAATTGTAGAGACTATCATATATAATATGATTCACAATCGACATAAACATCAGCGCGAAGAATATTTGAAAAGACAGCAATCATTGACCTTCCAAGACGAATAGGCCAGACGAAAGCATTCAAATAGTCAAAGGAATGATGTAATTTTAATTAACAAAAAAATCCTATTTGACTCTTTTTATTCTTCATAATTCTATTATACTCAATAATTACAGAAACGAAAAAATCAGACTAATACAATTGAACACTTGAGAATCATCAATAATCCATTGGTTTAAATGTTCAAGGACAGTGAACTTTGGCCAATTAAGAATGATTCTGCATATCACTCACCTGAGGTTTCTGAAACTGACGAGAATGATCCTTCTGGTAAAAGGAAGATTGTTGTAAAGGATCTGAAATGGTGCTCAATGACAGTGAGATAAATGAATGTTGTTTAAATTAAGCTTTTAATTATTATTCCACAAACTAATTTTTTCTTAATTTTATTTATAGTTACAATCATTTTTGCGGGATTATGTCGATCGTATATTTTCAGAATCATCTAAAATCCCAAAGAAACGAACCTGTATTTATGATAACATTAATACACATGACAAGAAACCCACAGCACCATTCCAGGCTCCTAAGTGAACAATTGACGGTTACAAAGGTTTTTGAAGATAGCTGTTAAAAAGGCTTATAGCGAGTGACCATCAAATACAGTTTTCCAACGATTGAAGCCACTTTGATCCAAATGATGATGAAAATGTTGATTTACAGTCGAGACCAACGAGAATAAAAGAGGGAAATCCAATGGAAAATTTATGGCCAAGACAGAGGAGACAACAAGTTAGAAACTGAGGATAATGAGGAAAGAAATAGACTAATCGTTCAAAATTAGAAACAATTTTAAGCTACTGCGAATTACTTATGGAATAATTAACAAATATTAAAAATTAAAAACAGTAATTTTATTTAATAGTATAAAATCCACTACATGCTAGCATTTTATTATAGAACAGTGAATACATTTCGTAACCAATGCTAATAATGCTAATGATTTAATAAATTGAATG